TCAAAATATGCCAGAGAAATATATTTTGGGTGGGATAGTTTATTCACCCACACAAGTTGCAGGTGAGTTTCAGTATTACCTTCTGAGAGGTCCTTAATGACGACATTGGTATTTCTGTAAGGTCTCAGACACCCATTTACTAAGTCTTTCTCAGAATGGTCACTTTCCCAGATTGTCTGATTCATCCATTTTAGGTTGATTTCCACATACCATGAGAAGGTCATACTTGTGCCTTTGATACAAATACTAGATGTTCTAGAAGAAGAATTCAAGGGAAAGAGAATTCAGCAGAGATTTAAAAGATACATGAATAGATTCATACGGAAGCCAAAAATCTGAGTGGAGAGGAGGATTAAAAAGACAGATGGAAAGGGAAAGGAAATATGTCTTCAGCAAAATGATTAATGCTTACTTTTGACCAAAGCAGGGAATGAATGTTCAATATTACTCTTTGTGATATTTTTTCTTTTTTTATTATTGCTAATAGTTTAAACACATTATCATTTGACCTAAAGAGAAGTCAAGATCCCCTCCCCAATTAAGGGAGAGGCCGAAGTTCCAAATACAAATATAACAAAGTCACTAAAATACCAAAGACACAAAACATCAGTCAAATGGAGAACACATAACTAGAAAACACAGGCAGAGTAGTATTTTCAAACTGATGGTGGCAAGTGAAGTAAACAAATAAAACCCTTGGCTATGAGAAGTCACAGTGAGGGGGGAGAGAGGATTTATAAATATACTTTTGGTTTTGTTATTATTTAAATCAGGTTATAAGTGGTTAAAACAATTTCAGCTCTAGAATCATCAAACCTTACAGGCTGAACTCAGAATCTATTTAGTCAGCCCATTAATTTTATAGACAGAGAAACTGAGGTGACAGAATATAAAAGCATGCAAAAAAAAGTTGCTCAAATAATTGACAGAAGAGTCAGTTCTAGAATTTAGGTGTCATAGTCTTAATCCAGTGTGAATTTAATGACTATGTTTCATGACCTCTACCTACATGGAGCTATTTCCCTGAAAAGATATCTATAGATATCAGGAGTTATTTGCCTAACATTCATTATTTTAAAATTATATTAGCAAAACAACAAAAATTAACATTGAAAAATGACTCTAGGACTAACATTTGAAAGAGTGCATTTATAATCTTTTCCTGTTTTAAGTTTTGACCATAGCACATGGAAACCAAAAAGGGATAGAGAGACACACAAGTGTGTATTCAATATCAAATTCTAGCCCCAAAGATATAACAAGTAATTTTGGAAGAAAAGGCATAATTTTGAACATATCAAATCTGTATAAGTTATCACCAGATTTAGTATAAGCTATCATTACTATGCTATTACTATAGCTAGTCCAGTTGTCAGAATTTAAGATTTTTAATTTCCTTCCTGGATGGGAAAAAAGAGAGAGAGAGAAAATGAAGAAAGAAAGAGAGAGAGAGAGAAAGAGAGAAAGAAAGAGGGGAGGGAGGGAAGGAGGGAAGAAGGGAAGGAAGGAAGGAAGGAGAGAAGGAGGGAAGGAGAGAAGGAGGGAAGGAGAGAGGGAGGGAAGGAGAGAAGAAAGAGAGGGAGGGAAGGAAGAAAGGAGGGAAGGAGGGAGGGAGGGAGAAGAGAAGAAAGGAAGGAAGGGAAGAAAGATTTCTTTGATATAAAATAATTCTTTCCTATTCCAGTACAACTGTGCCATGACCAGAGCCGCACGTGACATTGTTGTTCTTGCCACACAGGTGGTTTGACTTTCATGAAGACTTCCTACCAAACTGAGCATTTGGCAGTGTGGTAGCCTTATGTCCACCACATGCCTTCCCTAGCTTGAATGGGAAAGAAAGGAAGCTTCTTTTCAGGTGATTCTCTCCTGATACAATGTCCCTGTATTAAGTCAGTTTTTCCTCTTGTACCTAAGAATGTTAGCAAATGATCCAGCTTTTATGGAAATGTAATCACAGCTTCTCTTAGAAAATGAGCAGGTCTGTCTATTCCTCTCCTCCATGATTATCCCACACAGCATTTGAGTCCAACAAACCTAAGGTCTCTAATGTCACAGTGAGTTCTGCACATGCCTGTCTCCAATGTCTTGGAGTCTTGTTGCTGTTGTTGTTGAAGGGAGAGATAATTTTTGAAAGTAAATTGACGTACTTGAATGGTAACCTTCTTTGTAAAATAACAGACTATTAGAGCAGAAAAAGACCTCAGTGTGTATGAAGATTAAACAAAACCTCTCTTACAGGCACAGAGAACAGAACCTAAAGAGAAATACTTAATTTGAGAAGACAAGATTTGCTGGACTCACTCCCTTATTTCTACCTCCCCCAAACTAGACATATATTGGTTTTACATGGGGGTACTCACAATAAGGTATCCCAGATTCACTAAACATCTCAGGTGAGAAAAAGGACTGTGTTCTCTAGGCAATCAGGATAGCATTCATTCAATGAACATGATACCAGTTTACCTGGTTGGCTTCATTTTATTCTATCATTATTAGTATTTACTGAGTACTTGCCATGGGTTAAACACTCTGCTGGCTCTGGACCTAAGTTGATCAACAGTACAGTCTCTTGCCTTTAATAGGTGACACTAACTCAGGACCATAGCCTTCATGTGGTCACTGTGCCCAGTCAAGGATGAAAGGATGGTCTGACCAATGCTGGTCATCTCAGAAGCACCCTCCCAGCAGGGGTGGGGCAGCAATGATCTTTAGCTGCAAAGGAGAATTGAAAGGACCCTCAGCCCATCTTCTCCCCTATCTGAGGCCATGTCTTTAATTTGAACTTACTCCCTGAGCAAAGAGAGAATAAATTTTTCTAGGTTCCGCTAGCATCAAATTTCCACACGGAAGTATGAGATTTAGAACAAGAAGAGTCACCTTGGATTGAAGCCTTGGTGATACCAGCACTAATTATATAACTTCGGTCTTTCTGGGTCTTAGATAGTTTATCTAGAATATTCAACCAGTTAGTCTAGATGCTTCTTGAAGTTCTTCCTAAACCAAAAATTCTTTGATTCAATGTAGGGTTACCAAATTTAGTAAATAAAAATATAAGTTGCCCAGTAAAATTTGAATTTCAGGTGAATAATTAATAGATTTTTTAGTATAAGTATGTCCCATTCCTGTCTTTTATCTGGCAATCCTAACTCCATGGCATGTCTGACAGCACATGTTCTAGTCAAGGGGAAATGTCTGTTCTTGAAGGAAAAGTTGTCAAAGTTGTTAACATTCACCAGCAGATTTACATGATGTAATGTTTTGACCTCCATACTGTGATTAGACAGAGTGGTTGTGACACATAGGTGAGTTTGAGAAGAACCCTCCATCTTAAATGGATTACTTGAAAAGATGTCATTACCATAAATGTAGAATTCAGCATCCCACACCTTCCTCCCAACACTGAATGGTTACTTGAAATCTTGAAAACTAGATCTCCAGACACCTCAGAAAGGCAATAGCTAAAGAAGACAAAAGGAACAACGATGGAGACAGAAAGAAAAATCCTGTTAAACAACCATGCACCGATGAGTTTTAACAAGGAGCTTGAAGTCCAACTGGGATTAAAAGATGAAACTGCCCTGAAGGCTTGGGTGGGAGAAAGGAAGGCCTGAGAAGGAAAAGTCTTCCATGACTTAGCTGTTTTCCTTTTATAGTGGTTTTATTCCCTGTTTGGTAGGAATCCTCTGTGTAGAATGGGTGTATGCAGAGAGAGAAGAGGACTGATTCCTGAATACAGAGTAAAGGGGGTACTAAAAGAACACAAAAGGGAAAATAGGCTCACCACACTGCCAAGTTTCTCTGCCTTAGAATTCCAGGGTGGAATTCTGGCAACTTCATGTTTTGATATCAACTATTCCATGTTAGTCAGGAACTTTGAAGAACTATTTTGCTTCCTTTTATTAAGTAAAGTGGGAACATGGGGTAGTTTATTCTTTCATGAAGTCAGTGTTTAGATAACACAGAAGAGAGAGAAAATAATAAGAATGGAGATGAAAATTTGGGGATTACTGTTACAGATGACATTTATTAAAAGTCTACCATGAACCTGAACTTGTACCACACATCGTCACAAACTTCTCAGCTAATCCTTACTCTGTAAAGTAGATGGCACCTTTTTTTTTTAATTGTTTTATTACTCATATGTGCATACAAGGCTTGGGTCATTTCTCCCCCCTGCCCCCACCCCCTCCCTTACCACCCACTCCACCCCCTCCCTCTCACCCCCATCCCCTCAATACCCAGCAGAAACTATTTTGCCCTTATTTCTAATTTTGTTGTAGAGAGAGTATAAGCAATAATAGGAAGGAACAAGGGGTTTTGCTGGTTGAGATAAGGATAGCTATACAGGGCATTGACTCACATTGATTTCCTGTGCGTGGGTGTCACCTTCTAGGTTAATTCTTTTTGATCTCACCTTTTCTCTAGTTCCTGGTCCCCTTTTCCTATTGGCCTCAGTTGCTTTTAAGGTATCTGCTTTAGTTTCTCTGCGTTAAGGGCAACAAATGCTAGCTAGTTTTTTAGGTGTCTTACCTATCCTCACCCCTCCCTTGTGTGCTCTCGCTTTTATCATGTGCTCAAAGTCCAATCCCCTTGTTGTGTTTGCCCTTGATCTAATGTCCACATATGAGGGAGAACATACGATTTTTGGTCTTTTGAGCCAGGCTAACCTCACTCAGAATGATGTTCTCCAATTCCATCCATTTACCAGCGAATGATAACATTTCGTTCTTCTTCATGGCTGCATAAAATTCCATTGTGTATAGATACCACATTTTCTTAATCCATTCGTCAGCGGTGGGGCATCTTGGCTGTTTCCATAACTTGGCTATTGTGAATAGTGGATGGTATCCTTTTTTGAAAGAAAAGAAAATTATAACTGAGGCTCTGATAGGTTAGTGGCTTGGCCAAAGTTGGTAGTAACTTGCAAGTCATCTGAGATACCAGCCATATCGCTGACTATAAGTTCAACACTTATGTTTTCAAACGTCTCCTTTTTTAAGGCAAAGAAGCCAACTTGCTGATGCAAAATCTGAACAAACTGCAAACGCCTGAAGAAAAACTTGATTTTTTATTAAAGAAGTATGCTGAATTGGTAAGATCTTTGATTAGCTCTTTTTAGCAGAAAGATACAGTCTCTGGTTAGAGCTGAGAAAAACAGACTTAGTTTTTCACCTATATCATCGGAAACCATAGCTGGTTACCTCAAATAAGTCAAAGCTGGAATTCATAAAAGAAGAATACATTTAAGGGAAAAAAACTGAGAAATAATAGCAAAATGAAGAATGAAAGAACTGTAATCTATTTTCACTTATGTGCATAATTTGGGGAATGAGAGAAAGTACGTACATAATTGGAAACTGGATATTTTGAAGTTCTTTTTAATTTTCCAATAAAGCAGATATATACTTTATATAAAGATAAGAAAATCTTATGTTTTAATTAAGTTCACCTATCCAGGTTTTTCAAGGGGTACAATGGTAGGAAAGCAGAGAGTGAAATTAATGCCACCCCTCATTCTTGCCTGACCTGTGTGTCCCATTTCTGTGTTTCTCCTCTTTGGTCTCCATTCTTCCACTTTTCCTACAAAGGCCAAAACTCTCCAACAGTTTTGGAAGGGGGTTGTCTTCTCCTGGGTGCTTTTAGAAGTGGCCAATGCAAGAAAAAGAGAGGGCCTAGAGAGGGCAGTACCCCTATCAACAAACCCTTATTACACCTGCTGTGGCAGAGGAGCCAAAACAGTGACAACATACAGATATCTGAGGTCTGTGCGCGCGCGCGCGCGCACACACACACACACACACACACACACACACACACACACACACACACACATGATGAGAGCCACAGCCAAGATGTGACATCCTCCAGACAAACAAGGCAATGGACTTCTTATATTTCTACTCCATTCCATTAAAAAATCTTCCTTATTTCTTCTGGAGACGGAATGGCGGGAGAATGAAACTTAAGACTACCTACACTTAAAAACCTCCTGCAGTTGGTTGAAATGTCTTCCTTCCCTACTTAGATTTATTTCACAGCTAAAGAAGCTCCAACTCTCACAGGGCCTCTCACTTCCAGGGGCCCCTGAGAGGCCCCAGTTCTAATTGTCTTTTCTTAATTATTTTTAAGAGGGCCTCCAAAACTGAGTAAGCTTCAGACCCACGGATTCCCCAGGGTTGTTGATGGATAGAGAGTAGTGAATGACTCATATTCTTTGTTTTTCACTCTGACTTTAGTCCTATAATCTTTATTTGTTCTTTCCTTCCTTCTACCTTGATACATCCTGTTATGCTGAGTTGTCATGCAATAGACCCAGAACAATTTGAAACCCTAACGACTGGCTGATTGCTTAACTTTGCCAACAATACTTTTTAATTATTTTTTAATCACAAACCACATTATGATGACATAAGAGTGCTGAATACACAAAACAAAAAAGCTCTGATCCCATCATCTAAAACATACACTGTTTTATGCACAATCCCTTCAAAAGTCTGCTACGTATGAAGAGCTATCTTTTGTCATAACTACCATAAGGCACGTATGAGTTGGTATCTGGTCTTCTCAACCCATATAATAGTCATTTTCTCAGGTAATCTAAAGTTTTTATAGTATATTTTGTAAGCTTTGTGTCATATTTGGCCAGGAGTTGTGGTACATGTCTATAATCCCAGCAATCAGGATCCTGAGACAAGAGAATCTCAAGTTCCAAGCCAGTCTGAGCTACATACATAGCGAGACCCTGTCATAAAAAAGAAAAGTTGTGTCATATTTCATTAAATGGCTATATGTTCTGATTCACTAATTTGGGAGACATTTAAATTTCTCCCACTTTTACTTACCAAATATCATTGTAGTAAACATATCATCAGACATTAGATTTGTCCCTTCTTTTTTTTATGATTTAAAAAAAGGTTCCAGAAATAAGATTACTAAATCAAGCAGAATGAATGCTTTTTGGTTTTTAAGCTTTATAGCCATGTTATTTGCCAAAATAGCGGTAAAAATTCACAAGGCAACTATCTTGTTTAGCATTGGTTATTAACAAATTTTAATAACGAAATTAGTTGTGTGTTCAAAATAATACTTTTCCCCAAAACTTTGGTCCCTATTCCCCACTCTCATCTACTCATTCCTACTCTCACTTATTCATCCTTGTTCTTTCTAGTACTTTCCATGTTGTTTGTCCATTGCCCTTTCAATTTACCTACTCATACCAAGGCCATTCTTGCCTAGACTGGGCAGTGTTCTTTTTTTTTTTTTATTGTTTTATTATTCATATGTGCATACAAGGCTTGGGTCATTTCTTCCCCCTGCCCCCACCCCCTCCCTTACCACCCACTCCACCCCCTCCCTCTCTCCCCAACCCCCTCAATACCCGGCAGAAACTATTTTGCTGGGCAGTGTTCTAAACTAGCACAGGACACCATTTTCAGGGCTGCAATACTATAGCTTCACACTGGAGAAGAATCATTTCTCCAGTCTGACCAAGATTTCTCCATGAGCTACAGTTATCCACCTTGGTCCCAGGAACTTCCCTACTGATCCTCCTAGCCAAGCAGTCATCCCAATGGAAGTTATGTAACACAGACTAACTCAATTCATACCTTACTTACTATAAGGTAAGTAAGATTGAAGACCCCAAAGATCTTTCTACAAAATCGATCCCCAAAACCCATTACATTTCATCATGAAGAATTTCAAATTTTTACTTGGAGATGAAATCCTATTTCCTTGCTCATTGACTTGCATATTAATACAGAAAATGTCTGAAATGTAATTGTTCATACAGAATAAATCACTGCCTTCAAAGCTGTGAATCAAACTGCCACTCTGGGCCACTCATCCTTACAGTCTAAATCTTGTAATATTTTCCATCATTATATTTATTAATAGATTTGCATAAGTTCATTCATAAATCAAGACACATCAAACTAGATTAAGAATGGACTAAGAAAAACATTTTCTGAAAATTTCCTCAATTTTAATGTAGTTACAACAGTATCATTAATACAATTCTAATTTAGTATTTAGCATTAACTTTACTTTCTTTTAACTTAGTAAAAGAGAGAGAAAACATGAAAGACTGAAGCTAAAGTCCTATGCCTGCTATAATTGTACAGAAGAACAGGCTTTATGCTTGCAAGGCAGGTTCTCTACCATTTGGGCCACACTGGTAGCCTTTTTGCTCTGGTTATTTTGGAGACAGGGTCTTGCTTTTTGCCAGGCCAGCATGAACCTCGATCTTCCAGTTCTAAACTTCTATCACTGAGATGACAGGCACATGCCCCCACACCCAACTTCTTTCTCTTGAGATGGGGTCCCACAAATTTTTTTGCCTGGGATGGCCTGGGACCTCAATCCTCCAGTCTCAGCCTCCATGTACCAGGATGACAGGCGTGCCCCGCAGCTATTAATTGAGATGGGGTGTTGCAAAGTTTTTGTTTGGGCTGGCCTTGAATAGTGATTCTCCCAATTTCAGCTTCCCAAGTAGTTAGGATCACAGGGATGAACCACCGGACCTAAGCACATTGTTAAGTCACAAGTCAGCACTTGGCTTTGACACTCAGATAAAGTCACACAGAGCAGTGTTCCTCAGACGGGCAGTTTTGCTAGGCTTCTCTCTAGCATGCATGGGACTTTGTACAATCCAAAAACTATGTGGCCAAATATCCCAGTAGTGTTGATGGTGAACAGTCTTGGCGTGCAGTTTAATCTTCAGAAGGTAAGGTCTAAACCATAATGGCAGTAACAATAACAATATATAAGTTTCAAGGAAGAATGTTATTTAAAATCCCAATACGATCATGGAACTTTTTGCACTGTTTAATAACTATGGTGCAAAATGAAAGAACCACCTCTATCATGTAAACAGGAGTTTAGCATAAGGAAATGTACTAAAGGATCATTGACATTCCAAAAAGAAGATCAATTTCAATCAAAATTATTGTAATATGACTCTTGTTCTTTTCCAAAGTCCATTCCCACTAATAAGTACAAGTGAAAACAGAATATCAAATTCATGTATCCGTGGCTTGATCTGGCAAGGGTCTATAATGGTCACTGTGGCAGGAAGGAGGAAAGGAACAAAGCAAATGTAAACTGAAGAAAGTGTGCTGGTCCTAGCCATGTAGCTCAGAATGTTTTTGAAAACAGGGAAATGAAGACATGAGTCAGGGCTTATGTGATGTGTGCATCCTTTGCTCTGTGAGGTACCAGGAGCATGAAGGCACCCTAGGGATTTCCCAGGGCTTTTCTTTTCCGTTAGCCATTGGCGCTATTAGACTAGCGTCTTCCCGACTTAAGTTCCTCTCAGGCACTAAAGGAAATGAATCCAACAGAGCAAATCTCTCTAGTCAATCTCTCTAGATAAAAGGCTGCTGCACAAATGTGGCCACACTCATGTCCAGTCTGACCCTGGCACTCCTAGAATCTCCAGTCTCTGTCTGTGGGCTTCTGGAGGTTGGTCCCCATGCTCCCTCCCCCGCCTTGGACTAGGACTCCATAATCATGTTACCAGATTTAGTAAATAAAAATACATTGCAGCATTAAGTTACATTTCAGGTAAACAACAAGTAATTTTTTGGTAAAAGTGTAGCTCATCCAATACTTGGAATATACTTATACTAAAAAAAAAACCTTATTTATATGAAATTTAAATTTAACAAGGTGGCCTGTATTTTATCTGGCAACCCTTCCCTGGAATTTTAGCATCCCAAGATGGAAAATACAGGGATGAACTGATTTCATTTCACATGCCATCTGGGCTTGCCAGAAACAAGTGCTGAGACGTTGTCACTGTGGGCACAGGAGTGGGGGAGGGGTAGGTGGGGAGCAGGGTATACTGTTGAGTTATGTGGCGATTATTTCTGATGCTTTGGTGAAAAACCATCAATGCTTAGGTGCTTGAGGAATACTTTCTCTTTTGTTCCTTTCTCACACCCAAAATATCCACTCCCAAAGCCCAAATTATAAAGAAGACTTCATCTGTTTACCAGGAAGCTATTTTTCTCTTTCCTGTTGTTCAAAATAGCACTAGAAGCTTGTTTTGAGAAAGAATTAGGAGAACAAAATGTAACCCAAGCAGAAAAACTGTTGACCATGGCCTGATTGCAAGTCAGTGTCCACATCCTCAATCTTGTCCTTCTGTATTGACTGACATCATTACATAGGCTCAAGAAAAATATTTCTGGACCACCAAAAAAAAATCAAAGAAAGAAGGGACTGATAGTAACCATAATAGAAATGTCAACCCCATAGATATTATGACATAAAAATCACATCTCCAAGTATGGCAAAGGTGATGTTTGTGAAGCTTCTGTGCTTATAGAGAGACAGATAATAGCAAAAAAAAAGTTTCCAAACCGCCGTATCTGTAGGTTTTGCTTCTTTTCTATCAACTCCAAAGAAACTCCCGCGAATCTCTTTCCACTTGCACCCCGTGTCTAGTTGGATGAACATCGCACTGAGCAAAAGAAGTTAAAACTCCTACAAAAGAAACAGGTACAAATCCAGAAAGAAAAGGACCAGTTACAAAGTGAACATAGCAGAGCTATCCTTGCCCGAAGCAAGCTGGAGAGTCTGTGCCGGGAGCTGCAGAGACACAACAAGACACTGAAGGTATGTGTCACCCCAGTCAGAATGACACACTTTCTGTTTGCTACCTGTGTAAAGAGCATAAGTCTTAGAATCAGAAGGTGTTGAGTTTAAGTACTGGCTCTGTCACTTGCTTACTTTTGATCTTTGATAAGATTTTACCTCTCTGGCTTGTTTCCTCATCCATAAAAAGGGGATTTAGATTAGTTTCCCTGTGTGGTTGGGGAAAAATTAAGTGGGACCCCTATGTGAGGTGCTTACACGGTATCTGATACAGTGCTGGTCCTTCTAAAATGAGTGCCATCCCCTGCCTTTCTTACTAGGTTGAGGTTATTTTTGTTGCTGTTGTTGTTTTCTTTTTTTAGTTAGTCCTTAGTTTGCTTTTTAAGACATTTGTAAAAATAGCTATATGGGGGGTATATATCAAGAGGATCTCGTTTTGAGGTAGGACTGGGCAAAAAATTAGCAAGACCTCATCTCAACAAAGAAAACATCCATAATCCTAGCTACATAGGAGGTGTTAAGTAGAATAATGGAAGTCCAGACTGGCCCAGACAGAAAACACAAGACGCTATCTGAAAAATAGGTAAAAAGCATAAAGGGTTATGGGCGTGGCTCAAGGAATAGAGTGTTTGCCTAGCAAGGCCCTGAGTTCAACCCCCAGCACCACCAAAAACAACAAAGATAGACATAAAGCAAATTGACATGATAAAGGGAGATTGAGAGTCACAATGTCAATAGTCAGCTGAAAAAGAAGCTACTTGAAAAAACATTGAAGCTCTTCAGACTTAATTGTTCAATCTAAAAAAAAAATAGACTGATCACTTCATTCAGTCTGCATGGGTTTCATGAATTACAGCGTCAGCCCCCAGCAGTGTGGTTAATTTGATTACATGCAGACACTAGCTCCATTCAATACAGCAGGATGCAGTGCCCTCCAAGATAATACTGTCTGCGTCCACACTCTGCTTTCCAGTGGAGGATCCCAAAGCTCTGGACAAACAGTAATTAATTAGACCCCAGTGGTCCTGCAAGGCAGTTATTACTGCATGTGTTCAATAGGAGATACTTGAAGAAACAGAGACTTTAAAATCACTGCTAGTTTACACAATGAGTTAGAAAGAAAAATAGGCAAGGACAGTGGTTCCTTATATTCCAAATTGCCTTTCATATTTGGGAAATGGGAGGTCAGTGTGACAAAGTCTCTCACATTACAAGTTTGAGAAGATGGACTTCTGGCCTTTTTTTCAATGATTGCAGTAAGCACCACCAGAAACCCGGGCTAGTTAGGGCCTGCAGGTAGATGTGCCATCCTCAACAAGATGGGCATTACAGGGCAGTATTCTGTGTTACTAAGTCTCCTCACTGTCACTAGCGCCATAAAGTGAGGAGATGCAAATGAAACCAGACAGGGTGGGAAAATGTGTCAACAAAGAGACTTGATGAAGAATGCCCTGCACGGACCCTTTGGCAGATTCAAAGGCAGGATGATGGGATTGGTAGCCCACCCTGGAAGTGTACCACAAACCCAGGATTATAGCTTACAGTGCTGGACAAGGAAATTATGCGTCACTGTTATGGAGGTGTTGTGCTAAATGCTTTGCATATGTCAGTTCTTTTATCTTCACAAACAGCCCTACAAGAGGCAAAACAAAAACAAAGCAGTCATCCAAGTCCAGGCCTTGTATTTATTTACTTATTTTTTCAGCAGCACTGGGGTTTGAACTCAGGGCCTAATGCTTGTTAGGCAGGTGCTCTTACTAACCATTTCTATTTTAAGTATCAAAATCTGGATTCAAATACAAAATGTTTTCTAATTTTCTGTTTTTCTTTGACCCAGGGTTCTTTAGAAGCATTGTTTAATTTTTGTAGCCCATTATATATGCTCTGTCTTGATGACCATCCTATGTGCACTTGAGAACATGCTGTTCACATAGAACATCCCTTAGTAATAGTTAGCTTAGATCCTTTATGTCTTCACTGAATTTTGTCTAATTTCTGAGGAATAGCTGTTAAAAATCTCCTAGTATAATTGTGAAACTGCCTACCTCTTTCATCTATATCAATTTTTGTTTCATGTATTTTGAAGCTTTGATACTTGGTGTACACATATTTGTGGTTGTTTTGTCTCCTGGATGATTTGGCCATTTTAGCATTACAAATGTCCTTTGGGGGCAAAAAAGTTTCTGCTGGGTATTGGGCGGGGGGAGAGGGAAGGGGCGGACTGGGTGGTAAGGGAGGGGGTGGGGGCAGGGGGGGGAAATGAACCAAGCCTTGTATGCACATATGAATAATAAAAAAAAGGAAAAAAAAAAACAAATGTCCTTTGGTAATACTCCTTATCATGCTAGTTACATTATCTGATATTAACACAGCCACTCCAGTTTTCTTTTTCTTTTTTCTTTTTTGGCCAGGTGTATATCTTTTCATCTACTTATTTTCAGCCTGAGTCTATAAATCAGAGTATATCTCTTATGACAGTAAATCATTGTACCCTACTTCTTTTCATCCATACAATATCTGCCTTGAATTGAAGTGCCAGTCCATTGACATTTAATGCAATTATTGATATGACTGGGTAAAGTGGCAGACATTATGATAGATACCATTTTGTTACTTATTTACTATTTGTTACCTCTGTTTTCTGTGCCTCTGTTCTTTTCCTGCCTTTTTGATTACTGGAAGATTCTTTAAATTACATTTCATCTTTTGGATTTTTAAATTACATCTTTGCATTATCTACAGTGGTTGCTCTGTAATTACAATCTACATTCTTAAATTTTCGTAGTCTACCAGAAGTTAATACTGTATCACCTCAAATAATATGTAGAAACATTGCAACTAAATAAATAGGTCCACTTCCTTTCCCTACCTTTAAGCTATGATTGTCACATGTATACAATTAGATACATTTGTAAAGTTATGAGAGAGTGTTACACTTTTTATTTTAACCATCATGTATATATTCCTTTAAAAATTAAAGACAAGAACTATCTCTTTCTTTTGTGGAGTTACTTAACGTTCCTCATGCTTTTTAGTTCATTGTAAAGCTTACCTTTCTGTTTGGCTTTATTTCGCTTCTGCTTGAAGAATTCCATCGAGTACTAAAGTACTTTTTACAGTACAGTTCTGCTGGCAATCTATTCTTTCAGTTATCTTTTATCTTTATAATTTTGCTTTTATCTTTTTACCTTTACTATTGAAGACTGTATTTGTTGGCTACAGAACTCACATTGGCAGGATTCGTTTCTGGGATTTCTCCTTTAAGCCTCTCATAAATCTTCTACTATATTTTAGCCTCCAGAATTTCTGATGAAAATCAACACTAACTTCAGTTGTTGTTCTTCTTCATGTGATAGGTCATTCTTCTCTGGCTACTTTCAATTGATTTTTTTCTATTTTTCTATTGATTTTGGCTTTCAGAATCTTAACTGCTTTTTGTTCAGGAACAATTTTCTTCAAATATATATCCCAGTTAGTATTTGGTGAATTTTTGTGTGTTTTCCTTCAAATTTGGGGGGATTTTCAGCCATTATTTCTTCAAAACTCCCTCCTTCCCTCTCTCTCTCTCTCCTAAGAGTCTAACCCCATGTGTGTTAGATCTTTTGCTATTGTCCTACAGGTCTTTGAGTCTCTCTTCATGTTCCTCAGCAATCCTTTTTGTCTTGTCTCTTCAAAGTGACCGTTTTTTATTGGTCTGCCTTCTTTCCTTTGTTAGCTCTATTATGCTCTAAGTCCATCCAGTGATTTTTAAATTTCAGATTACATAATTTTTCATTCCAGATTTTCCACTTGGTTCTTTTTTCATAGGTTATTCTTCTCACCTGAGATTTCCTGTTTTTTAATTTATTGAGACAGCATTTTCCTTTATGTCACTGAGCATAATTATAACACCTGTTTTAAAGTTCCTTTCTGCTATTTCCACATGGAGGTTATTGTAGAACAAACCTCTTCAGACTGTCTTTTCTTTTAAGAATGGGTCACTTTTTCTTGGTTTTTATATGTCAAGTTATTGTCAATTGTATCCTGGATATTGTGACTAATGTTATTGAGAATTTAAATTCTACCATTGTGTAGCCTTCCTTTGTGGTGACAGAATACCTTCAAGAAATCAACTTAGAGGAAGAAAGGTTAATTTTGGTTCATGGTTTCAGAGGCTTCAGTCCATGGTTTTGGCTCCATTGTTTGTGGGCCATGGTAAGGCAGAGCACATGGTAGGGAATATGTAGCAGAGGAGGCTACTCACCTTATTGTGAGTAGAATGGACCTTAAGACTCACCCACAGTGACCTCCTTCCCCCAGCTGTGTCCCACCTCCTAATAGCTCATTCAGCTATGAACTCATCAATGGGTTAATCCACTGATGAAGTTAGCCACCTCTAATCCCATCACTCTCAAAAACCCATGAGTTGGGGACCACAAATTTAACACATGAGCCTTTGGGGTATAGACTTCACATCTAAACCATAACAATTATATTCCTCTGAAGAATGTTGACAGTTTTTTTAACTAATGAATTTGGTTAGATTCAAACTACAAACTTTGGTCTCAACAGCAGCTCAAATCTCAGTTCAGTTCTTTTTATCTTAGGCTTTGAGCCTGCCCTACACATGTGTCAATCAGGGCCAGTCAGAGATTTTGACCAAGTTTACTCACGAAATTTAGGGTTCTCCCTCTCTGATGCTCTCTTTCCTGGAATCTTTTACCTTTCAGTGACTGTAGTTGTCCAGACTAGAAAGATGCTAGAGTTTCTAGGAAAGTTTTACCCATTCCATTCAGCTGCCAATTGCAGGCTTCTTTCAAGCTAAAATCTGTTCTATTAAAAAATGGGAAACTTACATTATATACAAGTGCAAACTTTACTTCAGAATCTATTTGGTATTCTTTACTCTACAATGTCTTTAAATAGTTGTTTTTTACATTTTTGTTCAGAGTTTACAGATGTTATCTCCAGAAGACTCAACTTGGTCTGACCTTTCTTGGCCATACTAATGAGACAGCCTTTGCACCTGAGTCTAAAATCCAGGTGCTAGGAGCTTGGGAAGACAAAGAGACAAAATACAAACCCAGATCTTTCCAGTACCATAAATTCTAACTTTCACTACTCATTATTAAAATTGTTCTTCAATACATAAAACCTTACCATTTAGGAAAGTTTAGAAAAAAGGCCAGTGAAAGTCTAAGACATGCACTGGTTTCAACAAAATATGATATTTTTTGAAGCAATAAATCTGAGTCTGAAACTATATTGAAAAACACCTGCCTAGTAAGAGGTATGTCTTAGGGAACATGATTTTGGAAAGGAAGTAAGTAACATTTGTTGTCAGAATATTAATGCAGAAAGAACTGCATTAAGGTTCTGACCTTAAACTAGTATTTATTCACCCATTAAACAAGCACTTTCTGAACACCTACAGAATATGTGTCAGGCACAGCCTCAGGTCCAAAATGACCAACAATGCTTGCAAAGCTGTTTTCAGCCTTTGTCCCTCAACTTTAATTGCACCTTATTTTTCACTTCAAATAATGTTCCTGATTTTAAGGAACATTTTTTCTTAGACACTGCCCAAATGATTGCAAATTTTTTATTAATGAACTCAAACTTTATAACACTCTGCTAGATTTTTTTTTTATCGCATTGAAAAATAATATAGCCAGGCATGGTGGTACACACCTGTAATCCCAGCATTTGGGAGAGTGAGGCAGAAGGATCAAAGACTGAAACCAGCCTGGGCTCCATAGTGAGACCCTGTCTCAAAGAGAAGGAGAGAGAGAGAAAGAGGAGAGACAGAGACAGACAGGGAGACAGACAGAGAAAGACACACAGAAAAGAAGAAAGAAAAACAATATAATGTAAAATGGAAGGTGCCATTTTGTGGGCCAGGATCGAGCTCTCTGTTTGCTTGACATGTGTATAATGTCATCCTACCATTTGCACCTTGCCTCCGTAGTCAGTGTCTAGGAAAATATCTGACTTTCTGGGTAGCGTGGCATGATTCTTTCACTTATTCAGGCATGGATGAAATCTTTATAAATACAAATGGTTGTCAGATCGTGGTCTGCAGTCCTATAACCCAGAACTTGTTGACTTCTAAGCACGTCAGGAGCAGTGAGGTGACAATCACTATTATGTGCATGTTCAAATGCTCTTAATTGACAGCCACCATCATTTTTAGTAAAATACATTTAACAAGCATTAGGAAACAAAGTTCAGGGAAAAACTTCTCAGGTAGTCACTTTCTTCAGATTTAGAAGGGTAGCCATCTTCCACAATATCCCTTAGAAACTTACTAAAGGTTTATAACATTAACAAATTATAATTCTGATGGCCACTTTAAAGAGCTAGGAAATATGTTAAAATTGTGTAGGAAAGATGAAACCCAATGATAAACTATTTCCAGAGCACATATTTTCATGATCAGTTTTTATTTTGATCACATTATTCTATCATAATAAAGATTTGTGCAATTACTTCTGCTAAGTAATTATTTCTTTTTAAAACTTCTGTTACATAACTTGAACTTGGTAGGCAACTAACTGCAGAGTAATTTTACTTGTCAACAATGAAGCAAGCTTTCATATTAACAATCAGAGCTGAAAAGAAATCCTAAAATGTCTGACTCATTTGTCAGCGTGTGTCTCTATCTTGGTGTGATATAGCAAGATCAAACTCTTTTATTCTAAAAGAGTGAGAGGAACAATCTTAAAGCAAGCAATTCTCAATGTAGATTGTTAGTGGTGAGTGGTGAATACAGAGTTTTGATTTAGGAGAAAAGAGAACAGAGACAAGATAAAAATAATTTACACTTCTCCCGTGTTTACAAAGGGCATGGGAGAGGAGGAGGGGGATCAGTTGTTTCATTTTAGAGTTACAGAGATTTAAAACTTAATATTACTTTCACATTCAAAAGTTACATTGAGTATTTCAGTTACCCTGAGTAACATATGGAATGATTGTTCTTCCAGAAATAAAATATCCAGCTTATTTGGAAATACTTCCTTTTCTATTTTTGAATAGAAAAGATCAATAGAATTATTGATCTATTATTATCTTAGTTTCCCTTAGTTTTCTGATAAGAATTTTTACTTACTAAGAAAAAGTTTACGTTATGGTCACATATTTATAGAACTGGGTGATACAATTCTGGGATTAATATGCCATGGTTTTTATATAGGAACATTAGATCTTTGCTCTTCTCTGTCTCAAACCAAAGGAACCCATAATCTGTTCCATCAGTCAGAAAAGACAAGTGGCTTTTTTTCTAGGCCACAGTCAAGAGATCAAGATGGTGCAATTGCGTGTTCATCAGAAATCTCCACAGTTCATTCACCTGACAGGAGACCCGTCATCTTTAAAACAAGCCTATTTATCACCAGGATCAAATTCAAGGTCCTTACACACCTGCTCTGAGTGACTACACTCACAGCTGAAACCTCTGCTCATACATTTATTTGGGACAGGGCAACTTTAGCTCTAGGGAACGGAAAGAAAAACCTTCCCACTTACTCTGCACACTAGGCTCCTTTTGGTGACCTTTCCTGAGTTCTTTAAATCTGGGGCACCAGCATAACAAAATATTTTGCTTTTTACCTGCAGGAAGAAACACTGCAGCGGGCACGTGAGGAAGAAGAGAAAAGGAAGGAGATCACGAGTCATTTCCAGACTACCCTGACAGATATCCAGGCTCAGATAGAGCAGCAGAGTGAGCGAAATATGAAGCTCTGTCAGGAGAACACAGAGCTCGCAGAAAAACTGAAAAGCATCATCGACCAGTATGAGCTCAGAGAGGAGGTGAGAACCACATCAAACAGCTTCGAAGAACTGTACATAGATCCAGATCTGGGTTGTGAAGGTGGGATCTTGGTTAATAACAAAGTCATGGCAAGCCCTCTTAACTGATTAATAGTTAGGCTTGAATTTCTTTTACTAGCTAAAATAAAGACAGATGGTGCTATGAAATGCCTGGCTGAAAGTCACATGGGACTTCTTCAAGAGTGAAATCACTGTGAAGGCAGTAAGCAGGAAATGGTAGGCTGTGTGATCCTTGAAAGCAATGTTTCCCAGCCCTTTTCAAATCCTCTCTATGTAGCCAAAAATTAACTCACACTCTCTTATTTTATTTTATTTTTGATTTATCATACATTAATAATACAAGAGGATTTCATTGTGATAATTCCATACATGTGTGCCGTGAACCTTGGACAACTTCACTTCCTCCACTTCCCGTCTCTCTTCCCTCCCCCCACCCCCTGCTTTCAAATAGTGTCTGGTGGAGTTCATTATGCTTCTTCATATGTATTGATACAGCTCACTTCCATCCCCTTCACCCCTCAGTGTCCTTTCTCACATTCTCTTCTTAAGAATCGTCATGTCACGAGTGGCTCACACCTGTAATCCTAGCTACTTGGGAGACTGAGATCAGGAGAATAACAGTTTGAGGCTTGCACTAAGCAAATAGTTCTTGAGACCCCATCTACAAAGTAACCAGACCAAAATGGACTGGAGGTATGGCTCAAGTGGTAGGGCACATGCTTTGCAAGCAAGAAGCCCCAAATTCAACCCCCCTTCCTCCAAAAACAATCACCAAGTCATCTAAATTAAGCATCTGTAGTCTACATATCCTACAAGCCAATGTTAGTGTTACTAATCTAATAATTATAATGACAATATCATTTGGTGCTTAGTTTGTGTCAGGCAATGTTCTGAGTACTGTTCTTGGCACACAATATGTCATTTAATTGTCTCCACCTTCTCATGAATTAGAAAATACTATATTTTGCACATTTTATACATGGAAGACAGAGGCTATAAGACCAAACTGCTTAAAGTCACAAAAGCCACAATTTCCATTTTTCATGGTTTACATTAAGGAGATAACAGGGTTTTGGTTTTTTTTTATCACCCCCAAATTTTAATGCTTGATATGTTCTTAAGACTCCAGATGGCCCTTCACGAGTCTGATAAATCATCACACCCAGATTTCACATCTGCCTTAAAAATGTAGCATAACATAGTCAAAGAGGCTATGTTGGCAACCTGCTAATTTTACAAAGAAAAAAGCCAAGTCGGTAGCATATGGTCCCAGCAGTTAGGTAATCAGGAAACTCCTTACAGTAAGCCAAACTACCATGATCCCGTTCTATCTTGTCACAAAGACCAATCCCACTCCAGAGTGGGGCTTCAGATTTAAGAAGAGAAGGAGCGTATTTTCAGAGAGTTCTCAGATTGGAATAGCCTGGTATACTGGCTGTATATTCCTGGGACTGGTTCTATGTAAAGCCCAATAACAGAATTTCACATGTCCTCTTTCTGATGGGACATCCTAATGACCAAGAAATTCTTCACTCTGAGGTAGAATGGTGTTCCCCTTCATCTAGCAAGTCCAGAGGTTAAATTCATTCACAGCTATCCGGACTTTGTCACCCCCACCTGTATTTTTCAGCTCTGGACTGTAGCAAATACCTCAGATAATCAGCTTATAAAAAAGGTTTATTTTGGCTCACAGTTTTGAAGGTTTTCGTCCAGAATCAACTGGCTCCATTGTTTTTTTGGCCATGACAAGGCACATCATTGTGGTGAGGGATATGTGATGGAGCAAAGCTTCATGCCCACTTCATGGTACCAAGGAAGCCAAAGAGAAGGGGCAGATTCACTGCCCCAAAGACTGGAATTTCTCCCAGGCTCCCCCTCTTAAATTTCCTGCCACTTCCATTAGTGCCAAGCTGGGCACTAAGCTTTTAACACATGGGTCTTTGGAAGACATTTCAGATCCAAACCAACACCATCAGAGCAACAGGGGCCTGGGCTTCACTCCCAGACCTAAGACCACACACTGACACCCCAAGACTTTCTCACAACCCCTAAAAGCAAGAATGAGGAGAAATCATCATGATAAATTATATTAACTTTGTGGTTAAAAGACGTCTTGTATTCATAGAAAGATCTAAAATACCAGGTAACAGTGCTATATCACAGTTCAGACCTTTGTCTGTTATTTCTAGCAAACAAAATAATATCCTATCAACTAGTTACCAAATTAAAAAGAATAATTTAGGGGTTTTTAGGCATTAACATAGCTGAACTCTGGCACCTCTGTCTTTCGCATTTCCTTTACATGGTGCAAAGTGTGGGAACCTTTGTCAATTTATAGCTTTAATAAAATGCCAGGGCACTTATTCCTCCTCTCTTTTTTAAATCTAAAAAAAAATTGTGTTCATGTGAATTATTTTTTCCTGTTTTCCATTTTTAAGCAACAATAATAAGCCAAGCTTTCTATGTGCACTTATTTTTCCTTAGCATCTGGACAAAATATTTAAACACAGAGAACTGCAGCAGAAGCTGGTGGATGCAAAACTTGAGCAGGCACAAGAAATGATGAAGGAAGCAGAGGAGCAACACAATCGAGAAAAGGAATATGTACTTATCCTTTTATTCGCTGTGCATGGCTGGTCTGCCTCAGTGTCCTAGCAAAGTTGCTTTGATATGGTCAAAGAGCACTAAACGGATGGAGAAAGAGCCCAAGCTTCTACGGAGAACTAATTGGGCCAGCCCAGTACAAGGCACTGTACCTACACTATTGTTTTTCACATGGTCATTAGCATATATTAGTTGTAAGGGGAGTTTCATTGTGACATTTACATATGTGCTTACAATGTACCTTGATTAGATCCACCCCCTCCATCATTCTCCCTCAGCCTCTTTTTCCTCCTTAAACAATTTCAAGGGGTTCTGTTGCTCTGTTTTCATACAAATATACAAAGTACATCAACCATATTCACCCTCCTTCACCCTCTCTGTTCACCCTCCTCCCTCCCACTAGAACCCACTCACTGAACAGGACCTGTTTTACCTTACTATCCTTCATTTGTTTAAGTGAATATTTATTGTACCAACCCTACTTTTTACTTGAAACAGTCACTCAACAGATTATCTTCAAGTGCCCATTATCTGCTGAGCTCCATTTTAGATGCTGGAATACAGATATAAACTGGACAAAGAAGGGCAGTGACCCACCAGGCAGACTAGAACCTGACTGGGAAGAGGCAGGCAGTAAGCAAGCCAACAAACAAGGAAGGGTAATTTCAGATAATAATAAGCACTACTAGGAAAATAGGAAGGAACTAAGGAAGGGAGCCACCTTAGATTGGGTGATCAGAAAGGGAGAGGAGGACACTTGAGCCAAGCCCCAGCCCACAGGAGCTGCCATGTGAAGAGTTGTCTCCAGCAGTCCCATCTGCAGCAGAGATCAGGTCCTCATGCTGGAACCAGCCTGGCATGCTCCAAAAATAAGGAAAGGTCAGAGAAGCAAGAGCATGCTGACAAATGGAACAAAGGTTTGGAATGAAGTTGCAGAGGTAAGCAAGAGTCAAGCTGTGTCATTTTGCAGGACTTGGAAAGTAGTCTGGAATCAGGCACGGTGGTACATGCCTGTAGTCACAGCATTCCAGAGACTGAGGCAGTAGGATCCTAAATTCAAGATCAGTTTGGGCTACATAGTGAGTCTGTGGCAAGCCTGAGCTATACAGCAAGACCCTGTCTCACAAAACCAAAAACAAACAAAAAAGTAGTTTGGATTTTATTCTAAATACCAGGGAACAGTACTGGGTAGTTTCAGCAAAGGAGTGATCAGATCTGCCTTGCATCTACAAAGATGAATTTGGTTCTTGGGTGGAAAATGGGCTACAGAGGGGTAAGAAAGCAAGAAGACAGTTAGGAGGTGAGTACAATGACCCAGAGGAGCTGTGAGGATGACTTGGATTAGGGAGGTGGCAGCTGAGGAGAGATGGAGTTGGACAGAAGTTATTTCAGTATAAAAGCAGCAGGCAATACTGTTGACTAAAGACAACAATGAGGCAAGATAGAGGCAAGACTCAATTTCTTGGGGTTGAAGAAACTGAGTGGCTATATTTACTGATCTTATTAACCCCACACATTTCCCAAAAGCTGAAGGGCCAATCCATGGATCAGACAAGTGAGACTCAAAAAAAGATATTGAACTTGTTTAAGGTCACAAGTCATGTGACCTTAAATATTTCAAATCCATGTGTATCTGTCCTGGAAGCCCAAGCTCTCTGTCAAAGTACATCATGCTGTGTTTAGATGCATGAAGTGAAACATGTATCAGTTGCTGGGGGAAAGAGACAGAGAGAAAGACAGAGAGAAGTTTAAGACACAGTGAATGAACCAATTATTCAAATTTGACCCTTTAGCATTTGATCAAAAACTATTCATTTATCAAAAATTAGAATAGAATCATTAGTTTGTTAGAATAGTAACTTTTAAAATAACTCCAGTTTTCAAGCATAGCAGCAAAAAAATGGACCTTTGAGAATAGAACCTGTGGTTATTAGATAATTTCAAATCAGAAATCCATGTTCTTTTAAGAAAAAAATTATTAAATCTAGCTACAATCTAGCTGTTAAATAAAACATTCAATTATTACTTGGAATCCAAGGGAAATAGATACTCCATGCTGGCACATTACCCTCTTCAGTAAACTATACTTCCTACAGGAAACCAGGACTTTGGTAGAGAGTAGAGGAGACATGACAGAAGGAGGACTGGGCAAAGATGCGTGTGAGGAAGGCTGGAGAGTAGATCTTGGGGACACAGCCTTAGTAAGAAGCTAGCACACTGCCCAATTTTTCTACCCTGATTTAGTCACACAGCAGATTCGAGTCAAAGACAGGTAGCCCCAAAACTGACCATCTGCCTGGCTTGCAGCTCTGACACTTGGTTTTGAGAGTGGTGAGACATCAAGCCCATCCAAACAGAATAGGTAGCCACCTGCCTCCCTCCAGGTCATAAATTACCCATCACAACAGTTCCACATGGCTGGCTCAAAAGCAGGGACCTGTGCAAGACCACTCCACCTTTCAGAGGGCCCAAGGGACACCACAAGTTTTCTACTCTGCAGGTGCCCCAGGCCTCTCCTAGGACCTGTCAGGTGCATTTTACAAGTATCTTTAGCTAATAGCACTGTTGTTTAAAAAACAATAGAAACTGGCACATTACAGATGTGAATTTTGTTTTTTTTTTCATTTTTCTTTTATTATTCATATGTGCATACAAGGCTTGGTTCATTTCTCCCCCCTGCCCCACCCCTCCCTTACCACCCACTCCGCCCCCTCCCTCTCCCCCCCCCTCAATACCCAGCAGAAACTATTTTGCCCTTATTTCTAATTTTGTTGTAGAGAGAGTATAAGCAATAATAGGAAGGAACAAGGGTTTTTGCTGGTTGAGATAAGGATAGCCATACAGGGCATTGACTCACATTGATTTCCTGTGCGTGGGTATTACCTTCTAGGTTAATTCTTTTTGATCTAACCTTTTCTCTAGTACCTGTTCCCCTTTTCCTATTGGCCTCAGTTGCTTTAAGGTATCTGCTTTAGTTTCTCTGCATTAAGGGCAACAAATGCTAGCTAGTTTTTTAGGTGTCTTACCTATCCTCACCCCTCCCTTGTGTGCTCTCGCTTTTATCATGTGCTCATAGTCCAATCCCCTTGTTGTGTTTGCCCTTGATCTAATGTCCACATATGAGGGAGAACATACGATTTTTGGTTTTTGGCCAGGCTAACCTCACTCAGAATGATGTTCTCCAATTCCATCCATTTACCAGCGAATGATAACATTTCGTTCTTCTTCATGGCTGCATAAAATTCCATTGTGTATAGATACCACATTTTCTTAATCCATTCGTCAGTGCTGGGGCATCTTGGCTGTTTCCATAACTTGGCTATTGTGAATAGTGCCGCAATAAACATGGATGTGCAGGTGCCTCTGGAGTAACAGTCTTTTGGGTATATCCCAAGAGTGGTATTGCTGGATCAAATGGTAGATCGATGTCCAGCTTTTTAAGTAGCCTCCAAATTTTTTTCCAGAGTGGTTGTACTAGTCTACATTCCCACCAACAGTGTAAGAGGGTTCCTTTTTCCCCGCATCCTCGCCAACACCTGTTGTGGTGGTGTTGCTGATGATGGCTATTCTAACAGGGGTGAGGTGGAATCTTAGCGTGGTTTTAATTTGCATTTCCTTTATTGCTAGAGATGGTGAGCATTTTTTCATGTGTTTTCTGGCCATTTGAATTTCTTCTTTTGAGAAAGTTCTGTTTAGTTCACGTGCCCATTTCTTTATTGGTTCATTAGTTTTGGGAGAATTTAGTTTTTTAAGTTCCCTGTATATTCTGGTTATCAGTCCTTTGTCTGATGTATAGTTGGCAAATATTTTCTCCCACTCTGTGGGTGTTCTCTTCAGTTTAGAGACCATTTCTTTTGATGAACAGAAGCTTTTTAGTTTTATGAGGTCCCATTTATCTATGCTATCTCTTAGTTGCTGTGCTGCTGGGGTTTCATTGAGAAAGTTCTTACCTATACCTACTAACTCCAGAGTATTTCCTACTCTTTCTTGTATCAACTTAAGAGTTTGGGGTCTGATATTAAGATCCTTGATCCATTTTGAGTTAATCTTGGTATAGGGTGATATACATGGATCTAGTTTCAGTTTTTTGCAGACTGCTAACCAGTTTTCCCAGCAGTTTTTGTTGAAGAGGCTGCTATTTCTCCATCATATATTTTTAGCTCCTTTGTCAAAGATAAGTTGCTTATAGTTGTGTGGCTTCATATCTGGATCCTCTATTCTGTTCCACTGGTCTTCATGTCTGTTTTTGTGCCAGTACCATGCTGTTTTTATTGTTATTGCTTTGTAATATAGTTTGAAGTCAGGTATTGTGATACCTCCTGCATTGTTCTTTTGACTGAGTATTGCCTTGGCTATTCGTGGCCTCTTGTGTTTCCATATAAATTTAACAGTAGATTTTTCAATCTCTTTAATGAATGTCATTGGAATTTTGATGGGAATTGCATTAAACATATAGATTACGTTACCAATCCATGAGCATGGGAGATCTCTCCACTTTCTATAGTCTTCCTCAATCTCTTTCTTCAGAAGTTTATAGTTTTCCTTATAGAGGTCTTTCACATCTTTTGTTAGGTTTACACCTAGGTATTTGATTTTTTTTGAGGCTATTGTAAATGGAATTGTTTTCATACATTCTTTTTCCGTTTGCTCATTGTTAGTGTATAGAAATGCTAATGATTTTTCTATGTTGATTTTATATCCTGCTACCTTGCTATAGCTATTGATGATGTCTAGAAGCTTCTGAGTAGAGTTTTTTGGGTCTTTAAGGTATAGGATCATGTCATCTGCAAATAGGGATATTTTGACAGTTTCTTTACCTATTTGTATTCCTTTTATTCCTTCTTCTTGCCTAATTGCTCTGGCTAGGAATTCCAGTACTATGTTGAATAGGAGTGGAGATAGTGGGCATCCTTGTCTGGTTCCTGATTTTAGAGGGAATGGTTTTAATTTTTCTCCGTTAAGTATAATGCTGGCTATAGGTTTGTCAGATGTGAATTTTGTAAAACACAACTCTGAACTCTAACCAAAAGACCCTCACCCAAACCAAAGACCACAGCCCTACATTGAAAGTAATAAAATATGCATTCATCTTAAGTTAAAAAACATCTTTTACATAATTGTTTGTCCTTTCTGTGCTAAAATCAACTTTTCAATTTAACCCATCAGCTCCCAGTTCTGACCGTGTCTGACCACCATGTGTGGCTGTGTTTAACAGGCTGCTTTGTGGGAGAGGAATGAGGCTTTTTACCTTGTAAACCTCCAGAGGGCAGGATTTAAGACAATTGGTCAACCTTCTAACTCTGCTTCTCAAAACATAGCCCATGGACCACCGATATCCAAGCCATCTATAAGCACGGACTCCCACCACACCCTATACATGCTAAATCATATTCTCTGAGAGGGATCTGACCTTCACATGTCCTTGAGGAGGTGTAGATGCATGTTGGAAGCTCTGTGTCAGGAACGAGGGACTAAGATGGAGTATATATTTTTATCACATCACACAAGCTGTGGTGAAGCCCAGAGGAGCATAACTGTGTTAATATAAAGGAGCAGTTGCCATCAATAGTGCCCAGGTGGGGCTGGGGGCACAGCGATGCTCAAGCAGAGACCTATACTGGGTGAAAAGGATTGCTAAGAAACTCCCAGAAATGGGTAGGAGGTTGAATTTTATGTGATTCATGCTTGATTTGGACACTATTTTTAGTTCAAACCACTAATTTCCTATTGAAAATCAAACTTTTTAGACTACTTTTTCTAGCTTTCTTAGATTTTTTTACAAAGTTCAAAAAAAATTCTTAATAGGGTTAATACGAAAGTAATTAAGTTTTTACCCAAATCACGGGCAAACGGTTATTTACAATAATTTGACATGCTTTCCATGTATTCTCTGCTCTCACAGTTGCTGAACCAGGCAGCAGAATGGAAGCTTCAGGCTAAAGTGCTGAAGGAACAAGAGACTGTGCTGCAGGCTCAGGTGGGAGAATGATGCATGGGACATGCATTCCTTCCTGGTCCCTTGAGCCTGGGACCAAAGCTGCTCTGTGCAGGCTTTACCTGTGGCAGGAGATGGGGGGACAAGAGTTGGAAATAATGTCTTTGCATTTGTTATTTTTATGTAAAAGTAAAAATATAGTGTTGTATCCATGAAAAACAAATGCTCTACACCAACTACTTCCAGCCAAAAGAGTTGTTGAGACAAATGATGACATTAAAATTATTGGTCATAGGAAGGTGTTGTCCAGGTTAACAGCCATCTGTCCTCTCTTTCCTCTCCCATTACTCTATTAAAGTAAGAAGAAAATGTAAGTTGCTCTGATGCACCATGTATAACTATCAATTCTTACACTGTTCTCACATCTCTAATACAAAGTAAATGAGAAAAACAGAGGCAACTCCCCAAGTTTCCATGCTCTCAGAGGTTGACCTTGTCACTATGAATAACTGGAAGTAGTGGACAAAGTCAGGAGCCATTTTGATTTCACGTCATGGTGCCATTCGTGTTTTGATTAGACTACTGAAATTCCTTTTTCAGACTCAACAATAAAGTCACAGCTGCCTCTGGGGGAAAGTCAGGTCTTGCCATCTTCCCCATTGCCTTGAGGCTCTGCCCTTCCTGGCAAACAAGGTTTGTCACGTTCCAGGAGAACCATCTTGCCATGGGAAAGATAGGTTCTAGCTCCACAGCTGGGAGAAATACCCAAGCACAAAAGGGACTATAAGGTCACAGAGCAATTCACTGAAGGTGAGGAAATCAGAAGCCTTCCACATCGAGCAACAGTTAAGATTTTTAAATGTTTATGTGCTACCTGTAGAGTCCTTGTTCTTTTTTTTTTAATGTACGTATTCATTGTATGAATGACAAGTCCAATGAACATCTTTTCATTGTAAAAGAAAAAAAAGCAAAGAGGAAACTTAAAATCACCAATTATACCACGAACTAGACAAAACATAGGTAAGTTTCATATCCAGCCTTCCTGAAGCCTACTTTCACAATGTGTTTAGAGAATGCAGTGATGATGTATTCTCTGAAAATACATAAGAACCTAGGTTTTAAATACTAATGACATAGAGGCTGAAATAGTAATGTTTCTGATTTTCATAGAATTACAAGGCCCAGAGTTACAAACTCAAGATGATTCTTGAGGCAATCCCAGAGCCCATCACACCAAGGTGTTTGGAGGGGCAGGCAGTGGGAAGAGGTGTGACCTATGATCTAGGGCTGTGGAGAGCCCAGAGAAGCAAGCTAGGGCTTCTGATCTAGCTCTGCCTCACTTGCGGTAGGAAGAACACAGGAAAATACTTGAAGCTATGCAGTGTTCATATCACCTATTATATGCAGTCTCTGCTCTTCTGGGCTAAATGAAGATAACAAACTTGAGATGGATAGATTAATGCTATTGGATTCTGGGATCAAGAGTGATTCATTCAGTTTACATCAGAATCTAGGTTTTTAATCATCTATGAAATAAAAACCAAAGGTGTGATCCAATCTCTCAAATATACCTCTTCAAACTTGAAAAGGCGTCTACCAGAGGTCCTAGATTTTCCATTGTCCCTCAATCATTCTTCAGTCTTAGACTGAGTCCAAGCACCAAGGTCAGAATCCTGGCTCTTCTACAAGGATACTGTGTGACCTGTGCAACTCACCTAAACCTGTCTTAACTTAAATTTCCCTGTCTGGAGCATGAAGATGCTATAATGAATCGCTGTCACCTAGCTGAAGTCCTCTGGTTTCTGGGAGATCCATTACTTTTCGTATTACAAAATAGCAGCACATAGGGCAGCAATTGCTGTATAAAATGTAGGTGTTTCTGACATATCAGCCCTTGCTCTGCAGCTATGGAGGACAATTAGTCACATACATTTTTAAGAGGAAAATAAGTGAGTATGTAATATTTTCAATTTGTTATCAAATTATGCATGCACAGCACTGAGCTCAGTGCCTGGCCTACAATGAATTCAACCAATATCTATAAAGCATCTACTAAATGCTAGACATGGTTCTAGATGTTGGTATACAGTAATCAGAAACTCAAAATCTAGTGATATTGACAATGCTAATAAAAATGTTAACTATTAATCAATGCAGAAGCTACTATGAGCTGGCAAAATTTCATAGGGAGATCCACAGAAGGAAATATTAGACAAAAGAAGTCTTCAGTTGCAAAAAGGTGAAGAAACAAAGGAAAAAAATGAGTACTACTTCATGAATGTGAACATTTAGAGCTAAAGAACTGTAGCCCTAGGCTGAGTTTACCCTGTCTTTGCTCCCATTTCTCACAGTTTTCCACAATGCAGGCAGCCTCACTGGTTGCAAGGACCCTCCTTTATCTTTCTCTTTTGTCTCCAAGGTACTTCTCAAAACTCCAATAATTACTTAATCAAGAAGAAAGTAGAGCCTCCAAATCATTATGTACAATGTTTTAACAAGTTCCCAAGTATCTACACTATTATTTTTAGAACTTTTACTGGGCACAGTGTCTCACATCTATAGTCCCAACTTCTTAGGAGGCTGAAGCAGGATCACAAGAGTCAAGGAAGGAGGGTCATTTGAGGCCAGCCTGGGAGACATAAAGAGACCTTGTCTCAAAAAAACAAAGAAAAAGAAATCCTTTTCAACCTTGAAAACAGACTGTCTCGCAGTTACCTTACATAACACTCACACATTTCCTTTGGTTTTACACTGTGTTTAAAGGGGTGGGGGTGGCAGGAGGCCAAGGCCTTGCTCCCCATTTCTAAGGCCTAAGAAAGATAAATATCAAGGGTGTATTACATTGTTTTCCTAAACTGAATTCACTTTCCAGTCATAAGACAATAGCTGGCCAGATGGGAACATCTTTCTCACTTAGGGAAGAGATGTCTGGCTTTCAATTATACAAACCGAAGCAATAGAGTAACTGTCAGAGATGATCAATGGAACACAATTGTCACTACAAATGGAGTGTTCATCAGATCAATAAGGATGAAGACACTAGTAGATGTGGAAAGCCAGCAACGTCCAACAGCACAGATACAAAATACCACCCGAGGGGAAAGATCAGTGAGTAAATTGTTAAAAATGTCTAATCATCATCTTTGAAATTGGAAGTCCTCTCCTTATCTATATAGGATGGGAGGAGCACCCCCTGCAACCACTCTTATAATAGGGCTGGATTCCATGCCAAATCTCACAGGTTAGCTAAGACAATTCCTGGACATAGGTTTTGTTTCCTATACTCTACTGTTTACAGTTAATATTTGGTGCCTAGTTAAAAGAATGTGTGAGTCCCTTGCTCCATTTAAAAATGAAAGATTGAGGCAATTATACCTACTTCTAACCATAGAGCAGTTGTTCCTATTTCTGCTTCTGGCAGGAGAAATACTGTACAGAACACAGTATTTCTAAGCTTCTCTGAAGTCCCAAAGTGAGGGTAGGAATATCACACGTCAAATCAAGCATGCATCATGTCAGCATAATAGTCAGAGGGAAAATACAATTGGATAAGTAGCCATTAAGGAAACAGGAAGGACAAATTTTTAGTGTCGGAGACAATGCTGGAGCTGGCTACTTGAGGCGTATAATCTACGTAAGTCTTGCTACCTACAATGTGAAGGTCAAATAGAAAGAAAAGCAGAATATTAAAGACTGGCCACTTGAAGGAGGAAACAGGGAGTTGACATTAATGGGTGTGAAATTTCCGTTTTGCAAGAGATGAAAAAGTTCTGGAGATTGGTTGTACAACCATGTGACTATACTTAACAATACTGAACTGAATACTTAAACATAGTTAGAATGGTAAATTTGATGTTATGCATATTTTACCACAACTAAAATTGTTTTTAAAAGTTGAAGTAAAACAAAACAAACCCAAAAAAATTCACTAGGAAAAGCCCAGTAGAGGCGGTGATGAAGCAAGATACACTTCTTGGCACTCTGGGTGTGTCTGTCTCCTTCATGCCACAAGTGAGCAACAAGAAAACATGAGACAGGAACAAAAACATCTGCCCAATTAATATACCAAAAAGAACATTCTGCTTTTGTTCTTAGAGTTTCTACTTTAAGCAATGATGTGGAAAAAGTCCTTCAAGTACAAAGTAAGATGTGACTACAGTTGAGTGAAGACATTCTAACCAGAAAACTGAATGCCTGTCAGCTACTGTTGAAGCTGAAGTTGTGGGTATAGGTGTTTCTAATTGTCAAGGCTGTACCTGGGGGTGGGTGGACTGTGACTTACTCATCCCTGTCCTTTACTATCTGCAGCCTGCAACTATAGGGCTGCAAGAGAGGACTGGGGAGGACGAGGTTGGGAGATCATAGTTTCTAAGTATCCCTATCTATGTAACTGTAGGATTACTAATAAGTTGGAAAAAGAATGGGGAAAATAAGAAAGAGAAGTTAACAGAACAGGCTTGGCCAAGAATGCAAATGAAGAGATTTTTTTAAAAGGAAGATTCCAGAATCTACTTGGGGTAGTTGTTCTCACCATAGACCACTGGATATTCTGCAGTGTAGATAGCCAGATCCATAAGAGTTTCCCCAGGGTAAAATGTCTAAGACTAAAAGGCGGTCAGACCATTCATGAGCCCTCAAACCAAGTCGCTGGACCCAAGCCAGTGCTTTGAAAAAGTGAAACACAATAAAATATAACAGAGTACATTGCACACAATAAGGTACCGTGTGTGTGTGTGTGTGTGTGTGTGTGTGTGTGTGTGTGTGTGTGTAAACCTTAGAGTAACTTCCTGGCCATTTATTCAATCTTCTGTAATCTGTATGCCAAGGAATCATAAGTACAAATTATAGTTCTGACATAGGGCTAAATAAGTGATTTTAGAATGATGGTAAGCTGTGGTTTGTCTTCTCTTTGGAAAATTTTTTCCTATGGAAAGCATTAATGTTAACATTTTGTTGTTTATGTACTAAAACTTCTACTATTCTAAATCATTTGGGAATAAGCCATTCTTATAAGCAGTTTTCAGAGCTCTAGGGGTCCTTTGAGTCACATAAACATGCACACTGCCTCTAACATCCATCCTCTAGACCTAGAGCTCTCCAGTCCACTGGTTTTCACTCTGCATGCTTCTACTTTAGAAAAGAGAGTCACACAAAATCCCCCAGCTGCCCAGCCTTCCAGCCACCCAGGTCTACCAAGTATAGCCATGGTTTCCTGTTTGTTACTGGATGCTGCAAGTTTTCTTCTTCACACAAGACATTTTTTGCCCATCTGAGAACTCATCTGGACACTCAAGAGTACCAAATTTGAAAATAGAGGCTTTACTAATTTTAGTCATCTATACCAAGTCTCTACCAAAAACATCCTATCTGAAAATCATTTTCAAAGGCAAGATTTTGTTATCTTATTATTGTCGCTAACAACCAAATATTTACACACTTTTTTTTCCCTGTGCTACCCTATTCCCATTCCAAATGCAAGACTTAAAATTAAGGATGTGAAGATACAGTATCTCCTTCTCAACACCCATATGGTGGTCACACACTCAAGGATGTTAGCTTATATAATGCTTTTTGTGTAAATAGAAAAGGCATCCCTTCCTCAAGACTCATTACTTCCATTGTAGGAAATTGGTGTAATAAACTGATGTTGATGGCAAGGGGCTTTTTAAACTGCTATTGGCTGCAACACTATATTCACAAATAGATTAAAAAAAAAGTCTCAAACAGAAATGACGCTTAGAGTGGTGTACATCCTGAGTGATGGCAGTGTCCCTTGTTCACATCCACCCACACTTCCCTTATCACATATTTTCGTTTGTCTACTTTCTCCCTTCCTTCAAGACCATCTGCTCCATAAACATACAACTCATGTGATCCCACTGTACCAACTGACTTGGCACTTTGTCTTCAGCAGCCCATAGTCAAGTTGTCTTTGAGATTATCTTCTAGTTAGGAGTGCAGGTCCCTCAGAAGTCAGATCCATGTGTTAAACAGGTTTGTACACGCATATGTTCAATGCTCGGTAAATGTTGGTAAAAGTTATAATATAATGAAATGGTGATGACATATTTTATTATTTTGTTTTTAGAGAAGCACTTTAATTATGTTCACTGACCTAGGCTGGTCTTGTAGCAAATGAAATGAATGAACATATGACTAACATTGTACTGAGAATTCCTTTAAATCATTTTTCTTCTCAAATAATGAACAGTGACATGTTGTTTTGTTCTGGAAGCATTCTGAAAGCAGTCTAAAATAGTTGTACTCTTTCCTCTGTTTACAGCTTACTCTCTACTCAGGAAGGTTTGAAGAGTTCCAGAACACACTGACAAAAAGCAATGAAGTATTCGCCACTTTCAAACAGGAAATGGATAAAGTGAGTATTGCTCTCATCCACAAAATATTGACATTTGCTATTTTGACAGGAAATTCTCCTTTGGGTTCATTTTTCTCTTGCTAAGATATTTCAGTGCATTTCACGAAGCAATGAAATGTTTTTAGTTTGGAATGAGATTTGGGTCTTTTTCTTTTTAATATATGTGAATTAATCTTAGCAAGGGCCCCAAAATGCTAGGATACACGTTAACTCTGAGGAACAGTATTCCTTTTTCTTCTCCATGGCAATTTTTTTAAGGCAAGAGTCAACATTATATAATGTACACCACCATTAAAAAAGAAAAAACAGCCGAATCTTCCAAGAGTTAAAAACAACTTTCAGTCAAATTGTAAATGTAGCCCCAGGACTACAATAATATGATAATAAAAAGAAAGAAGGTAAGGGAATGGAAAATATGAAAAAAGCCAAATATGTAAAAGTAGAAAACACTAATTAATAGAATTATTTTTATTTATAAGGGAAGATATGTAATATGTAATTGACAGTTCTCCAAGCGAGGACATGGGAACCCAAATGCAAATTCTGGGTGTATTCTGACTCAACAAGTAGTATAGAGCAACTCTGAATTTTATTTTTCTTATCTATAAATTGTGGTATTACTTTCCTTGTCTACATCACAAGATTATAAGCTTCAAATAAATTAATGCATTTTAAAAGGGTATACAACATTTTTTGGTCTTCTACAAATATAAGGTACAAATATTATAATTGGCATAAATATACCAATTATATAATATAAGGTATAAATATTATAAATGTTTAAATCTTGTTCAGCTCAGTGTTTTCTCTATGAGAAATCAGCATCAGATTTATGTTTTTAAACTGTCATTAGCAGTGACCACTTTATAAGTGGAGAAATCATCCTTTAAAAAATGTTTTCATGAAATAATAAATTTCACAATTAAGTGAGCAAACTTAGAAGGTTAATACTTACTAAAACCTGGTTTTTCCACTTCAGGATGGATCTCTCTATTAATGTTTTTAATTCCAATATTCTAAGATTAGAATAAGTATTAGAATAGGAGAAATTGTTTGCATTTCAATATTATATATTTCAAGATTGGAATAAATCTTAAATCAAGATGTCTTAATCTGGAGTTCATTTACAGATTTTAGTAGTTGACCTGAGAATTCGCTGGTAGTAAGCAAAAAAACTGATGTGCACATTTACATTTCTCTGAATGTGGTCTCATACATTTAATCAAATTATTAAAGGGATATTAATTACCTTAAAAGTTTACAAGCTGCTAATTTGGCTAATATGTGATCAAATAGAAACCTACTCACAGCTCATCTAGCTTCTCTTAAACCAGGGCTGACAGTCTGGGCCCAACCTTTGGCCTCCATCCCTAATCTCAGGCAGTTTTGCCCCAGCACCAAGTGCCTGGCTGGTTCATCTTGGGAAACTATGCCTAGTTACAAGTCTTGTCCTTCAGTTTATTCAATCAGAGAGGAGATGCTACAATGAGAAAGGGCAAGAGGTGATGAGTAGACTCAGGTTCAAAACAGACAGGTTATGTTTTCTTCACTTCTCTATCTCCCACACTCATCCCACGACTTGCCACCCAGTAGACACGGCCTAAATGAAATGAAATGCCTCTAGTCCCGTTCTTCTATTAACTCACCTGAATATTACTCCACCTTTTTAAGGTCAGTTTCCCCATTTATAACAAAAATGTGAAAATACAGCCCTTTTTGTGGGGGAATTTCAAAGATGAAATAAATAATGTGTGTAATCATGTTTTGTGAACTCTCCCTCACCCTGCAAACATAAAGACAGAAAAAATGGGAAGCTGCTTTTGTGCGGTATTTTTTAATGTGCTTATATGTTATCAACATTTTAATGGCTAAAAGCATATTCTCACTGAGATAGTCTTCTATTGAATAAAGTTAAGTGATCTAAGTTGCAAGTTTACTCACGGGTCTCAGCAAAGAAATTTTAATTTTAAATGAAAGGAAAAGCAGCGACAAAACAATGCAACATAAGTAGTTTCCTTTCCCTTGAATTGGCTCTGGTGCAAATAAGTTTGCTCACCACTGGCCCAGAGGACTCAGAAATAAATCATGATTCTTCCGCAGTTTTCATTCTTGACATTGCACATTTGTTTGCCTCGGCAGCTGGTAACAAAAGGACTGCTGTAGATGTCACATATGGAACTAATAGCTTCCTTGATACATTAACTCTTCAGGATTAACACAAAACACTCTTAATTTCTGTAGACAACTAAGAAAATGAAGAGGCTGGAAAAGGACACAGCCACGTGGAAAGCCCGGTTTGAGAACTGTAACAAAGCTCTATTGGATATGATTGAAGAGGTGACGTTTTTCTCTATTTCTTATTCCTCCCTGCTCCTGGCATCTAGTAAAAATATCCATACTTACAACATGAGGTAATAGTACAAATGATTATGTTTGAAAAACTGAATTTTGAAGGAATGTGACATATTAAATTATAATGAAAACAATAAGAGCAAAGGTAATTTAGAATCCAGTAGAGTCAAAAAGAGCTTTGTGATCCTAAGTCACATGATTATTGGTTCAAAAACTGTCCCCAGAGCTGCACCTGCTGGGTTGTGAGTTCCTTAAAGGTAGGATGAGTGTGTTACTTGGTTTTGAACTTCCCCAGTGTATAAAAGCTAACAGGTACAATTAGTGATTTACCTATACCGAGAGAAGACACCAACCTAAGCACTAGGGTATAAACTATTTTACAGACATATTAAAAATTCCTCCAATATGTATTTAGATACTGATAATATGTCAGGATCGAATAGATTTTGCAACTCTAAAAGCAAAGATACACGGCCCCTGAGAGGTAGGGCTTACAGGTGAAGTTCTCTCCATCTTAACCAGTCGAAAAAGGTCTTAAAGGTGGAGTAACTCAAAGTAGAGGGTAAGGAATGAGATGAGTAGGAGTGAGATTTCTAGAGAACAGAAGTGAGTAGTTTAAGCAGTTAGCATAATGAATTAGTGTGTGGTGAGTTTCTATGGTTATAATTACTGTTGTAACAATTCGTCCCAAATTGCAACCAATTCCAAAGACATATGCTACTGCTCATCAGTATAAATCAAATGGGTGCTTGGATTAGAATGCAGAGTCTAACTATAGAACCCAGAAGGCACTGCTGAGGGAGATGTCCCGACCCATCTCATTCATTTCTTCATAAGCTTTTGTCTACACCTTTCAAGTCTTCAAGGCGGAAAATTCATCTACTTAAAGACTGAAGAGGCTCTGGGCTCCTGCCATCTTTCTTTCCCAGAGAACAATCTGTGGCAATTAAAATTCTTACCAGAGTCAAACAAACACATGATGCAAAAAAAAGCCATGTCCCTTCTTCCCTTTGGGGGAGAGGGGGATAAAGGAGAATGGGGGAGGGGGTGAACTAAACTCTGGTAAATTTGATACGTTATAAAAACTTTTGTAAATGCCACAATGTACCCCTGCCCAGCACAACAATAAAAACATTTTTGTAATTACAAAACCCCTGCCCCTCAAGTGTCTATTCAGATAGTGCTCCGAGGCCAGGTCCCAGAGCCCAGGAGTCAAACACTGGGACAAACGGTTTTGTCTCCTGAGAGCATCTTGGAAATTTTGTTTTTCATGTCGTGTGTGTTCCAATACAGAAAGCACTGAGAGCTAAAGAATATGAGTGCTACGTGATGAAAATTGGGAGGCTAGAGAAGCTCTGTCGTGCATTACAAGAGGAGAGAACCGAACTCTACAAAAAAATCAGAGAAGCAAAAACTCCTGAAAAGGACAACCAAAGTCAGCATGGCTCGGATGAAGAGTCAGAGTCAAACATCTCTGAGGATAAAGAGGTGGATGCAGAGGAGGTTAGCAGGGTTGAGGACGCTGTGAGAAACCTGGCCACGGCCTTCATGGTAATTCACCATCCAGAGTCCACCCTCAACCAGTCCCAAGAAATACAACCAGAACTGGGCTATCCTCAGGGTGAGCATGACCCTGACCTACAGGAACCCCAACAACCCCCTCAGATCCCTTCCCAGGCTTCAGAGAGTCCCCTGCCTCTCCCAGCTCCTCAGGCTGAGGCTGGAGGGAGCCATGTGGCCGCACCTTCCCCTGAAGCCAGTAATCTCCCCATAGGGTCAGGAGCTGAGCTCCAGGGCCAGGGTCTGCCCACTGGGACACAAGCTTCCAGCCATACCCTACACTCCCCAGGCCAGGCCTCCTTAGTCCAGGTGGAGGCAAATGGTCCCCCTCCACCACCCCCAGCAAGTGAGCAAGTTGCAGTGGGGGAGGCTGGATGTGAGCTTAGGGAACAGCCTCCATCCACAGCCTCAGAGGAGCTGCCCCCGGGGCCCTCTCCCAGGCCCCAGCTGCCCAAAGTGGCTGACACCAATCTGGAAGGAGTGGACTAAGCAGCATCATGCCTTTGGCCGCTGCTCTCCTGACTTTGCATCTTTATCATAGCAGACTATCTCTGAAAGAGATGTCAAATGCAAGAGTTATGATGAAGACTTTTTAAACGTTATACAGAGCACATTCAGCCTTTGTTCTTCATTCTCAATTTATAACTGAGGTGGCGCTTTTCTGTTTACCACTGAGTGATAGTATAATTTTCCCAACTGGTAGCAAAAGATACCAATAGCAAATTTATATTGCTTTTCCATTAAGATGGTACTTGATTCAATTTAACCAGCAGTAACTACATTTGGTGTTGCTGCAATATATAGTAATACTGTAATATATAATGACAATGTGATCTTATATTTATTTCTACAAACATCTCAATAAGCTCCATAATAATTAATTAGTGGATGTCCAGGTTTCATTTTAACTATATATATATATATATATATATATATGTATATGTGTTTACTTATATTAGTATACAGTATATTCATGTGGACATGTACAAATCTACATATGTATACTTATCCACACATGTGTACATTTTATATACACATATATATTTATATATTATACATATATTTCTCTCATCCCTTATGGATTTTTCTCTGTACAAGATATTAAGATACTAATCAAAAAGTTATCTCTTACTTGCACTTGGAACTGCAGTAGACTAACACCCTATGCGCGAGAAGTAGATTCAGAATGAGAATATTTAGACCATCACTACATTGGGCAAAAATAAGTAACCCAATATGAGATCAATAAATTCAACCGATTGAGCAAATGACAGGAGAGCAATTGTGTTAGATTGCAAGTCTGTGAAACAGCATGACACAAAGATGACCATGAAAGGTCCTAAACAGCAAAGGAAAGAATCAGTTGTAGATGGCTTCCCTATCCCAGCTACTTCTCCTACACTCCTCAGCCAGCTTCTCACAACCCTGCCCCATGTCAGGAGGCAGTCCACTTTCTGCCTGTGAAGAAAGGGCTGGAAGCAGGAAAGGGAGCTAGGGATTGAAGATTGAGGCACACATGGTCCCTGTCTCCTCTGCTACTGATGTTCCCCAACAGAATATTCACCTCTCGCTGTCTCTTCCCCAGTCTGCATTCCCACACCTAACTTCCTTCCTTCCTTCAAAATTCTCTCCTTTGTAGCAGGAAATTACACCTGGCCCTCAGCTCAATTAATATTAAATAAAGCTGTTATTTTTCCAAAACAGAAATCCACACAGGGTCTCAATATGAGTGATGAGGCTTACAAACCAACACATCTTCTGCTTTGAGAGATTTTCTACAGGTCAGAAGATAAAGTAAAAAACAAATAAGTCTCTACTCAAAATGTTGAAAAACAGGTGAGGACTCAAGAGAAGGAAAAAGCTAGAAACACCTGGGATTTTCTACATAAGTATTACATTATCATTGCTTGACAAGAACCTTTAATAGTACTGACAGCATAAATTAGTCTAGCTAGAGCAAAACGGTATGGAAGGGAGAGAAAGATGGAGAGAGACAGAGAGAGGAATGAAAAAAATGTCTAACCCAACTCTACATTAAGAAGCTGAACCCATGCAGAAAAATGAATAAAAGCAAGATTCTTAACTATTCATCCAGGAAATCATTCTTCAATGTTGCATGTGGCTGTTTACCAAGGCACACAAAGAGCTGTAAGCAGCAGCCATATGTTACAAGAATGGTAAAGTGCATAAAATTTGTTTGAAGTACACAGTGAGGATAAAAACAAAAATGCTAGTCAGGAGGAAAAAAATCAGGAAACAGCCATGTCACTATTTGAAAACTCATGTGTTTTTAAAGGCTTAAAATATTATAACCATAGGGGTATCCAGCCAAATTCAACATTACTGAAAATTAAACATTCATTTAATTCAGAGCCAAATACTCACCATAACAATCCAGGAGGGTCTTCTTTCCCTCTATTTACAGAAGCTGAACTTCCAAGAATAGAGCAAGATTAGATAATCATAGTAAAGTCTCAGTCTGAATGTTTAACAAGAGAAACAGGAGATGTGCCCAAATCCAACAAATCAAATATTCAAACACCCAAAGTTCATTACTTTTATCCAAAAGGCTCTCATTGCAACACGTTACTCACTGCTATGTTTATCTTCAGCAGAGCTTCAGACAAAATAACTTGCCTGAAATTTGTAAAGCTTAATATAGGCTTTGGGAGAGTTATTTTAATATTCAAAGAATGTTTTATTATAGTCCTTTGTGTTAGAAATTTGGCCTTACTAATTATAACAGTAACTCATAAGATCTGAAAGCAAAGAAATTTCGACTCTTTACTGAGTTCATGTAACTATTTTTAGAGATGTCAGATCTTTCTAGAAACACTAGCACTGTTGGTACTTTCTAAATTAAATAACATAATTGACTCATCAATTAAAGAGAGTACTTCTCTTCCCAAATTTTCTTGTAGTGGTTTTATTTATTTAATTTTAATTTGTTTTTCTTTTTTGTTACTTCAGCGTTTCAACAATACCTAACCAAAATTATGGTCTTATTCTATTGTCAATTGAATTTTTGGTCTCTGAGCAGAATGCATGAAGAGTCACTCCAGAGGCAGAGATCAGGAGGACTATGGTTGGAAGCCAGCCCCGGCAGATAGTTCAGCAAGACCCTATCTCAAAAATTCCCAACACAAAACAGAGCTGGTGAGGTGGCTCAAGTGGTAGCATGCCTGCCTAGCAAGAATGAGGCTCTGAATTCAAACCCCAGTACCACCCACCTCAAAAAAAAAAGTCATTGAAACCTACAAAAAAAGCAAGGGTAGCAACAGAATGCCCAAGTGCTAGGGTTTGAACGTGTCTCCCCAAATTTTAAGTGTTGGAAACAATCCCCAAATTCCCATTAATAATATTTGGAGGTCAGGCCTTTGGAAAGTAATTAGGGTTAGATGAGGCCATGACAGAAGAATCCCATGCCTTTCATGGCATCAGTGGCTTCATAAGAAGAGGAAGAGAGACCTGAGCTAGCTGGAAGTGTTTCCTGTGATCCCTATTCTGCCATGTTACAGTGCAGCATAAAGGCCCTCAGCAGATGCCAATTGGCTTGGGCACCATGCTCTTAGACTTTGCAGTCTCCAGAACTGTGAGCCAAATACACCTCTGATCTTTACAATACCCAGACTCAGGTTTTTTGCCATAACAACAGAAAACAGACTGAGACACCAGGGTTAATGAGAAAACAAAAAACTCAGAGTCCTCTGCCTGGCCATCCAGCCACTGGTGGACAACACGTTTTTATTTCAGGACCAGTCTCCCATGAGATTGTGGCCCCATAGTTTCTCTGCCATGTGTCTTCTCAGAAGTACTAAGGTAGGAAATGTAGAAGATATTGACTCATTTTTCTCTGTCCAGTTCTCCTGACTGCGCCAAAACTTTTCTCTAACAAGACCTGGAAAAGCCCAGCTGTTATGTCTCTTAATTATTCTGTTTTCTTAGCCCATATTGATCTGGAGGGGGCTCCTTCAACCCAACATGCTTTGAAATAAGGATTTGTTAGCAAGAATGGGGGAAAAGGTTAGACTTGCCCTTGGAGATACACATTTGTGTGGTATGGTATGTGTATGGTGTGCATGTGTGTGTGTGTGTGTTGCTGGGGATTAAACCCAGGGCCTCATGTACACTAGGCAAGCACTCTGCCACTGAGTTACATCCCAACCCCTACACATTCGTAAATAGCCCCTTTCTGAGATTATAAAAGTTAACAGGCATTCATTGTAAAACTGATGCTGCTTTTCAGTAAGATTCACAAGGGACAGGAGATATCATTTTAGGGAAATTTCCTCAGCCCATTCCTTGGCAACCTGAAGTTAAATACAGTATTTAGAAAAAATTAAATAATTCAAAATATAAAGAATTTGCTAAAGGAAAATACAAAATTGATGGAGGAGGATTTAAGAGGCAGGTAGATTGTTAGGATTAAATTCTCCCAAAGTAAATAATTGTACTTCAGAACCTGAAAATTAAAGTTTCCATTAGATCAACCATGAGGACACTCAATTAGAATAGAAATTTTCACATGACAGAAATGAAGTCTTTCTTCACCCTATTAAGTTGAATCTTTAATATCTGAGGTTAAGTCTCCTTGATGGTATCCTCTGATAGACATTCTATGAATGCCAGTTCCTGTTGTATGTGTGTGAGAATGTAGGCACATCCACACAGCACAAAGACACGTGTAAAACTTGACCCCAGTTTACTTCTGTTCCTGTAGGTGAGTCTTTAACCAATATTTTAAGAAGTTACTTAGTATTATCTTTCCTACCAAAGAAAAACTATAAAAAACAATTGGTTTGTGTGTAAGGACATTTCATAGAAACATCTAGCTAGCGAAATAAGCCTAGAAGGTCATTGATCCATGGCACAGAAATTATCCACAGAAGCTGTTTCATTTTACCAGTGGATAAAATGGATAAATCACTTCAACAGGACAATCAAGCTTGGCTAAATCCAAACTCAAGTCCCTCTTCAAGCCCAAGATTTCTATTAACACCAGTGATTATGCTACTGAAACTTCAAGTAATGTATTATAGTGCACAGTTGCTTCATGTCATAACTAAAACATGTCTATGTCTAAAGCTCATTATTTCAGAAGAATCAATTGGTGACATTTTATATCAAGTAACATGAAAACCACCATAAAAGTTAAGCCAAAAAAAATATGTGTTAAGAGCAGGAAAGGCAGAAAGAGGGAGAAAAAGACTTTCAATCTGGTAGTTATTATTTAAAAGGAAAACTTAAAAGATAAACCCTGAAGACTATTAAGAACAAGAAAAGGAAGAGGCATGAAAAAATTGATGAACCTTTTGTGAAAGCAGACTAGAGATCGAGGCGAGAGCCATTATGATAGTAGTATACGTCAACACTATCTCTCCAAGGCTGAGGAATTTTACAAATGTGCGAAAAACACATTTTTCATTGCTGTTGCTTTATTGTCCTTCTTCTTGTTTGCTTTCCTTTAAAATAACAAGTGCATTCTTTTCCATGTAAAAATAAAATTACATTATAAAACATTTAGAAAATAGAGACGAGACCCACAATTCCATCACCCTAATTTAAGCAGTATTAACATTCATTATGTAATAGTATTTTGAATTATCTGACTGTCTTTTTTTAATTTAACATTATGTTAGTTTCTCTTTTAGGCAGGGTGTAATAGTTCAAATGAGAGTAATAGCTATTCATAGCTATCAGATTTGAGTATTTACATTGTATTTTCAAATTTCATAGCCTGTGGCATATGCATGGAAGTCTATGACACATGATTATGTAACACAGCTCAAAA